TAGATATATCTCTGTACCCGGATCAATCTATGACAAATGATAATGAATCTTAAAACGCCTGATACAGGTTTTCTTGATCATATAGAGATAAAGAGAGAGAGAGAGAGAGAGAGAGAGAGAGAAATTGAAATGTTCGTGACACAGTAGCAATTTGCCTATTTAAATTAAATTGGCAACGATTTTGGATACAAAGTAACGATAGAATATTTTTTGTATATGTTGCAATCAATAATCCAATATCGTATAATCTCTTGTCTTTAATATGAGCAAAATTAAAATTGAAAAATTCCTCGAATCGAATATCTTTTTTTTTTATAATTATTAATTTATTTCCTTAAGTAGAATATATTATCAATTAATATATAATTTATTATGGGTTAACAAAAACAATATTATGATAGATTAGATCTAGTATATTAACATAGAATAGCATTCAAAAAGATTTTAATAAAATTATATATCTGCATAATAGATAGAGTTTTCTTCTCTACAAAAATAAAAATTTGATCGAAAGAGTTACATAGACACATGCTTGCGAAATAAAAATGTAATTCCAAAATAGATCTCAAAAATAGATGTACAGTAAATACATTCAACAAACGATGAATGAGACAGACTATAAAGGGGTGAGAAGTTCCTCTCTCGTTTCTGGACGGAGAAAAGCGTTGCTCGAGGTGGGCGTTCAATTCCTTAAGCATCCATTTCTCTGATCGGGCCGTTCGTGTTATGCTCGACACTCGCCTCATCAAACTTTTCGTCGTCGTCATCGTCGTCGTCGTCATCGTCCGCGGCGTTCTTGCGCTCTACATTTTTGCGATCGTCGTCGATACTCGTCCCGGCCTCCTGTTTCTCCATTCTCGATTCGTCTTCTTGACTCGACGTCGACTTCCGTCTCTCAGTAATTGTCGCACGATTATCTTCATTGTCTTTATACTGATCACGATCTTCGTCGTTCGCGTACATACAACTTTCCTCGATTGGTTCAAACTGATTGTTCTCAGCGCGATTGTTCGAAGACGAAGCCGTGCGACGTCGTTTGACCGGTTTTCTGACATCTTCATCGCTTCTTTTCCGCTGGTGTCCCCGCTTATTGTTGACCGTATCGTTGATTTTGCTTAACAGACATGTGATACAGATAAAAAAATCTCTCCTACAGATATACAGAGCATTCTCTGGCAGAATGTATTGCGTAAGATATAAAATAGATGAGAGTATTTTGCTATTCAGGAAAATGCAATTTAAAAAGAAGGAAATTTAATTTTATCATGATATAAATCTTTTTATTTCCCCGAAATTTCCTTGAAATTTCTTTTTCTTAGAATTGTGAAGACGCTCATAATGCATTTATTACAAAAAGTCTGTATTACGTGACAAACTATTACGATTCTTGTAATCTATTAAAGTTATTTTTACTCAGCAGTATAAGACACTATAAAGCGGTACCTTTGACAATGCATTTATAACAGATAGTTATTTGATTAAGTAATACTAAGAAATTTTACAAGAAACCATTTTCCTATCATTTCCTTTTTTTCAATACCGAGTAAATAATTTATATTGCTTACACATTGATATGTACAATTAATGTAATAGAATAATATCTATCTACGAGGACGATGAGGATTATTTAGATTAAAACTTACGATAGGAAAATTATACAAGATTAATAAAATTATCATCTCTTTTGTAATAGAGAAATTGACCAACCTCTTTTTTTTTGCGACAGTTTTTGGCTTGTTTTTTTCGCGCAGCGTCGATTTGTCGGGCGATTTTTTTTGGTTGCTTTCTCTTGCGCTCAAACTCCTGGCAGGACTTTGAACGAAATATCTTCTCTTGGATCTCATCTGCTCTTGGTCTACGTCATGACGCGGCTTACCTCGCGAAATTCCGCGACGCATCGCTTTCCGGTCGCCGATCGTCGTCGGCCGCGTCTCCCCTCGTCGCGCGATGCGTCGTCTTTGTCGCGATTCGACGTCGGCTTGTCTCGTGCTCCAAGATCCCGTGTCCAGGGTCGGGCACACATGGAGCACGTTACCTTGTCGATCGGCCGGGATCAGGTAACCCGATTTCACGCCAAATGACAGCGCCTTGCGGATGTATTTTTTCGCCTGTCGCTTTCCTGCAATATGGATGTCATTCGTTGTGCACAACGATTTGGTTGTCATCCGAGAAATTTGACCTCGCGGTCAAGAGCGCATTTATGTACAGTGACATGTCATTAATGACAACTCCCGCGGTACGGATGCATTGAACGAGCCATTTCACTATTATACACGTTCACTTGACTCTCTTCAATGCCTCCTTCCCGGGATGCAATTGTATCCGCTTCTATGTCTTCGCACGAATTACTTCGAACGATATTGTCATTTTATTTTATAATGTCTATATATAAAAATATAAACTATCAAAAAAAAAAGAAGAAGCTTTTAAAATTTGTCACAAAATATTATTATAAAGTTACGCGCAAAAGATTTGTTAAGGTTTCTAGAACGTTCGTTGCGCTGGAGAAGCACATATAAAGAATATATAACGTAATATATAACAGAAGAAATTATTTTATTTATTTCGGTGGAAAATCTGAGGGAGGATGAATTTATGCGAGTATTTAATGTAAATTTTAATTATATTATGAGGAGTTTTTTGTGTTTCTATGAGAGAAGAAAAAAGTCTAAAAATTTATTCATATTTACATATATTAGGTTGAACGGAAAGTTCATGCCGTTTTTTCGGTCTTAATTTGTTAGTAAAAAACGGAACGAATTTTCCGTTCAACCCAATATATATACATATTGAATTTTTAACCTTCCTCGATGCCAGCCTTGATGTAATTGTTTATGAGCTGCACCAAGGACTTCTTTTTGAAGAGCGCTCTAGCGCTGTTGAGCGAATTGGCTAACGCAATTGGCTTCATTGAGATATTAGACGCGCTGCTGTTCGCGGAACTCGTAGACGCCGAGTTATTTGCAGCATCCATCGACTCCGTGAGACTTTCAATGGACGTGGGTCTAGATTCCATCGCGTACTCGGGCACTTGAACGGATTCCGGGCTATCACCGCGGTCGACCACCTCGAACGGAAGCCTTTGCCGCTCGTAATATTTCTGTATTTTTCGACGGGGTGTCCTGAAGCGTTCCGGGGATTGAAAGCGTTTCGCTTCTATGACGAGAAATGTACAATAACGATGTTAGCTTACACGCATCTGTAGGTCATTTCTAGCTGCGCTAACACAATTTCAACTCGTTTTATTAGTTACCGATTACAGTTACATGCGGTGTATGTAACTGGAATCAAATTCTCAGTTTTAAGCTCAAGCTGCGGCGCTTAAGATTAAAATATTTGACAGATTTCGAATAATTCCCTTTTATGTCTGAATTTATTGCAGTTCATCTATTACATTATTATTTGCTGGTGTCGCACAATAACATCAGTTACAGTTACCTTGATTGTACTTATCGATAGTGAGAAGCTCGTAGACCAGTTGGGGTATACTGACGGAATCGTATGGCTGTTGTCGATGCGGAGTGTTTGCGCGTTTACGGCGCGTTGATCTAACGCGAGAACGGATATTGGGACGCGATATTCGTTCCGTCATCCGCTTTTTCTTGGGTCGAACTTTCGCATTTCTCTTTGACGACGCCATTATTTGATAATGGTATTTCTCCTCCGGACAGCGAATCCGCAAACCGCGCGGCCACGTAGTTGGCTTCGATTTCAGATAAAAATTGAATGATGATTTCTCGTCGTTCTATCCATGTGAAAAGTAGCGATGATCGCGATGGATGTAATTTTGTTTAATTTTAATTCCATTTCTATATAATAAATAAATAACAAAACGTATTTTTTTTTCTATAAATATATAAAGAAAAACACGAATTAATATATTATTAAGATTAATAAATAAATAAGATATATTAATAAATATTATATAAAAATATATTTTTTTTCTAGACTATGACTATAAACTATATGAATACAAGATAAAAAAAGAAGTATAATTATTACATTTTACAAATAAAATATGAAAATATTGTAAGTTTTTCTCAATATATTTGCAAATAAGAAAGAAGCTTGATTTGTGTGTATGCGTATTTTTTACATCTAATTACACACAGATATAAAATTGTTATTCTTTATCATAAAAATTTATATTTATCTTTAAATCTTGCTTTTTTGATACTTTATTATCTTGTAAGGAATTTGCAAGTCTCCCTCGTGGAAAGGGCATGTTATTAAAGTTTGTGAGACTTTCGGCGGACGAAGAGAGAATGGAAAATTTCCGGTGGAAACTCGTTCTCGTCCTCGCCCATTCGTTGACTCAATTTATTATGTCTCGATCGTTTCTTGAGAACTTTGTTCGATTCCGCAGATGCGGTTGGTTAGATAAAAATATCACACGTCGTATATAGTTTTTCGACTATCCGATTATCGATCACCGCGTAATAATAATATCGCAGCGAATCGTCTCGAAACTTCCAACTTTTCCTTTCGCTTGGGATTCTGCCCAATATATTGGATACGTGACGATCTCATTTAAATCTTTTCAGAACAGGAATTTGATTATCATGCTATGATAATATCAAGATTAAAAATAGTTTCTACGAAATATGAGGTGCGGAATAAAGCATTTATATTCAAAGCTATATCTAATTTTAAAATTGGATTTACATTACTTTAGAAATAAACCGTCGTATAAAATTGCATATTCATAGTCGTGTATTTCGATGTATAACTTTAATGCTTTAACATGATCGTGGTAAACTAATTACATAGGTAATTGCAAGATGTACAGTGTATTTTATTAACGTAAATTACCATATTGCATTAAAGATAATAACAATTTACATCTGATGAATATTGCAATCCTAAATCTCTTGAATCCTAAGTCTTATAAATATTATAAAGTTGATAGATTTAAGAAACGGTCGTTCGAGATGAAACATGTACTTGAAAACGAAGAGGCTACTTGAATTTTAAAGCGCATAGATTGGGCGAAGAAAGATTGCTTCCCATAGATTGTTGATTTGAGTTTGCATTTTGATGAGAACTAATATAATATTTCATAAGTCGCTATTATCCGATTCTTAAGGATTAAAAATACGTTCATCTTATAATAGTTAATATAATAATACAATTGAAACAATTAAACGATTTATCTCAAAAGGCAAGTGATCTCAAGAAAACTGAATATTATCCGACTAAGGCGGGTGGAAGTCAGGGCTCGACGAATAATGTTCGTCGTTTATTTCTCTTTCAAGAATACAAAAATGATTCTACAGAAATAAATATATCTTAAACAATTCTATTAATTCACACATTTCTATAAAAGCGCCTAAATATTTTTGAAAAAGATTGATAGCAGATATTACTATATCTCAATTGTCACATTCTGGCTTTTTGTGCAGATAATAAATAATAAATTCTTCTTTAATTTGAATAATTTGTCTAAAGAACTTGTTAATTTAATGTAAACATTTATTAAAAATTTATAATTAAATATAGAGAGAATGTAATAAACATAACATTTGTTAATAATTATAAAAAGAGATCTATATTAAAATATAAAACAAATATTTGCATGCATACAGCTTTCCCTTTGATATTCTCGTAGCTGCAACTAACTTAATTCGCTCGGGGTTGTGTGAGCTTTTAGTTACAAAATAACTACCGTGTTTGCGACATCGATATTTATACACTTTGGATGTGACGATCTTTTTGTCAACGATGTTCCTTTATGGTTCTTCAATTTTGCTATTTTTGAAATAATACAATATAATACAATCACGGTAAAATTGTTGATAGAATGATTAGTATGAAGTGAGATATTTCCCATATTATTTTACAACTTTTTAAACAATCTCATAAACAACATTTGTGTTAAAAATTAAAAATAAAAGTAAAATAGTTCTAAAATTCTATAAACAATCTTTACATATATATGTAATATATCTACTCGCTACTTTTCTCTTATGTTACCTACTTAATATAAAAACGTTTACTACATAAATTATAAATTCGTAAATGACTAAAAACATTTCTTGGAGATTTTGGAACATTATATAAACAAGTATTTATTTAATGTGTTAAATTATTATTTATGGAAAATGTTCTTTGCCTTCAACTTTTTTCATTGTCAGTAGCAAATGCGTTATATGATTCTGCTCTATACGTGTAAAGCGCAACAACTTCTATGCAGTTTCAAGGTTGTCGATACGATCGCTCCGTCGACGATTTATCCATGGGTATCTATCAAGCCACATGTGATTTATTGCACACTTGTGGCGCGAACGTACCCAGAGATTCAAGGACGCAGGACCAATACATAGACGCGGAATCAAGTTCAATTACTCGTCGAGCATTTTGATGGCTTCCGATCGTGACGCGACGCGGTGGGATTTAGATATTTTTTTTACCACAAGAAGGTACATTATTGAGAAATAGAATGCGCCGAGAGAGGAAAAATAATCGCGCAAAGCTGCTTGTTTCGTTTGATTTTTAACTTGAAACGAGCAAGCGGAATTCTGTCACTGTAAAAGGCGAAATGCGCCGTTCCAAAAGTATTTATAGAGTCATCTCGTCGATTGCGTTGCGAACAAGTCGTCGAATGTCTAGGATCGTGGAAAATTATCTCGTATCGAGCTCGAGAATTTTAAAGTTACCGGAACGATGTATGCAATGTGGGTTGCACAGTGTAGTTCGCTAAAAATACACATCGTCATCGTATTTCGAAAAACGACGGAATAGGATTTATCCCCATAGGAGTCGCTTTCCATTTGACGTTTAACGAGCCGAGAAATGAGAGATGTCACGAATCTCGCGTCCGGCCAGGGATAATGGAAAAACGGATGTAAATATTTTTTTTTTCTACTGTGTGTGCACAATACGGGCTCATTGGTTGTCTGAAATAACGCACACGTTGAACGCAGAAGCTGATCTACGGTCAGACGATCAAGATAAAATAGATGTAATGATCTGGACAGGTGTAGAAGCGTTAGTTCGTTAGCCGCTAGTGGCAATTAAGATCCAAGCGCTTAATCAACGGGACGAAGTATGTATGTATTGTATAATCCGTGTGTACGTTATTTTGCCTCGTTGCAGTTTGGCTTCCTGTGACGTTTTCTATGACATGATGCATAATCGCGTGGAAAATTTGGTTAAATAATGTCAAGTTATTTGTAATAATAAGTTGTGTAATGTCAAGTTATTTGTAATAATAAGTTGTGTAATGTATTAAATTATTATTTAGGGAAAATGTTCTCTCTCTCTAAGTAAGTCGTGATGTCGGTCATAAAAGATATTCAGAACCGACATCAGACAGTCAAATTACAAGGTTATCACGCACGTGGAAGATATATGGCAGGGGACGCGGAATTACCGAAATAAACAATTCTGCTATAAATATGTAAGGGTTGTTGTATACATTTATTTCTAGTAAATTGAACACGATATAATGAAATAATGATTACATTCGCGTAGCTATGCGTAATAATGGTCGCTATAACAGTAACTTAATTATTATAAGCTATGAAAAAAGTAGCACCTGTCTTATTATGCTTCAAGCATAGCGTTGAAAATAAACCAAGGTCAAAAGTTTCTAAAGAAATACATAGTAATCTATTGCCTGGTTCGAAATAGACTCTTGAGGCATCTGAAGGAGGTGTAAAACTTTTTATTTATTTATCATATTGAGTTTTATAAAGTTTTCTCATTGTAGTCTGACGTCGTGCTTGTAGAATTCTATTTAAAAATTGCTTTACGATTTGTTTTTTTTTATATACATAGTTTCGTATTAATGCTAAAAATAGTGAAAATTTAATATTACTCCCCCAAAAAATATAATGTCAACAAAAAGATTGATTAAATCAAGTTTATAAGCAAAATAAAAATTGTAGAAGAATTCGTCGCACAATCAAGTGTGGAAATGGCAGCAATTGTAAAAAAATGTAACTGCGAATTCGATCATGTTGACGATTAACAGCGCGAATGGATTTACGAAATAGTGCAATAACACATAACAGAGCTTTTGTGCCAATAAAACGTAGAATGTTAGGTCGAGCACTGCTTTCAGATACTTATACGCTTGACCTAATTGCGAGAAAAACAATGTTCGCGATTATAATAATCGAGTTGAAATACTCGCGTTAATTAACAAATAAGAAAGATGTTGAGCAAATGTTTGCAATAAAAGCATTTTAATGATGTAAAAGTTTTCTTTCAAAACGAATTAACAAATAAGAAAGATGTTGAGCAAAAGCCAAATGTTTGCAATAAAAGCATTTTAATGATGTAAAAGTTTTCTTTCAAAACATCATAAAATGATCGACAAGTGTTTTAATAATTCCGACCGTATTTTGCAGAAAATATATTTATTTCTCATCTATTTAACAATCACTTTAGAAAATCAATAAACGTTTGAACTTCACTAACAATAAGTTATGGTAAAAGAAAAAAGAAATTTTTAAATTTTGTGTTATATTAATTTACATTCTAAGATTTCAATGGCATGTTAATACTTGACAATATGTTCGAGATCGAGCCGGCAAATTAGCGCATTTATAATTACCGTGACATGGTTCGGCTTGACAATGGCATTCACGAATTGCAACGACTGTGCCGATCGTGACCACGCGCCAATAGCGCGGCAACCCGTCGCCACTGCGTGGGCCGCCAATTAGCGGTCGATTGAAAGTAGCTAGCAATAATAAAATTGCTGCCCTTAACGAAGATCATAACAAACATTGCCCTCCTAGAAGAATCCAAAAAATCGAGACAAAAATTGTCACCGGAAACTCGTCAGCTTTCCGGCGAATCTGGATTCTTCTAGAAGGGCAAGCTTTAATAGCAGTGCGCGGAAGGAGCGAGGGCTCTTTCTCAGAAAAGTCTCGGTTGCGATTTACTGCAGCTATCTCAGAATTTTCTCGGAACGTGGACTTGTGCGGGAAAAAAGTGTATGCTCGCTTCTTTCGCTTCACCGTTGCTCGCGAAAAGTGCAATTGCTCCATTCTAAATAGCTGTATACATATTGTGATTGTTAATTAAATCTTGTGCCATATAAACTGATCTTTTACCGCGCACCTTCCTTGTTACTCCATCTCTCTCGCTTTAATTCGCGCTTCTCACACGCATCAGTTTTCTCATTAAATATTGATCTCTCTCTCTCTCTCTCTCTCTCTCTCTGACATATGTTATTTAAATATCATAGTTAGATTGTCCATGTGATATATTGTGACATTAAAAATTGGGTCAATTATTTTTGCGTAATAATCGAACAAATAATCACGCGAACAAACGGAATTTCAATTTTATTCGTGATAGATCCGCCAAGAGCGATTGGTGAAACGATGTACAAGATCCAGTTACTACGCTTAATCGAGGAAATGTTGGAACGATGTCGCGGCTATTATTTACTCACAACACATCGATTATTATTTACTCGCGACGTTGCTCCCCAAATGCTTTTTGCGTTTCCCGATTAAATTTTCATTGCGTAACTCGTAGTAAAACACGCCGAGGTGTACGCCTGAACGTGTTTAAATCATGAGAGCGAGAATAATTCAGGGAAATACGAAAGTGATGCTACCAGTCTGTTGTAATTTCTGAGATTGAACGTGCCCGGATTGTGTGTAAAATCCTGCATATAATGTTCATCGACCCGGCGCAGCATAGTGAGGTCTCTCGCTGTAGTAATAAAATAAAATATAAAAAATCGAAAAACGAATGATACTTTATCAATGGCGCGTAACTGGCTTCTTGCTTAAATTCTTAAAAGTTTAAACCATTTTAGCTCTCACAGGGATATTTAAATATTTAAATCCTTAAATCTTTACTTCTATTTTCACACACATTTTGTTTTAAATTTCAAGGTCCTTTAATTCTTAGATATTAATAGATATCTAACTATTTTTATTAATCTATAGACATGTGTGTAAGTGTGTAGATCCGTAGAATTTACGCATGAGATTTCTAAATCGCATTCCCCGATTTTCAGCTTCATTGATTCCGACCTAAGACGACCGCAAAGTCTTTTTTCATGCGTAGTTGAATGAAATCGAAAGGGAGGTTGGCCAATGATACAGAATCAATGGACCATTCAAGTTCATTGCTTACGTTCAAGGATGGACATATTCGTTCTAGCTTGATGAAGCGCGTGAAATGTGTGTTTGGATTAATATTATCGATTTTGTTTTCGGTTCTATACAAATCGATCTATATCAATATTATTATCAATGTTTTTTATTACCTTTTCTGTGCGGTTTAATCGTTTGACAATCATTTCGGAGGAAGGTAGACAGAAATCGGAGTAAAGCTAAGTATCTTCATAAAATGACTATTTTTAGTTGTTGGTGAACATCTTTATCGAGAAATATTATTGAAGTAATTTTGCTTTTAATTTTTGATTTTGTTGATATTTTTTAAAATGTTTACATTATGTTTAATGTTTATGTTAATGTTTATTTTTAAATTGTTACAAATAAAATGTTAATTTCATATTATCAGAATGGTAAATAATATAACGAAATAAAGCACATTTTTATATATTATGCAATTTATTTTGATATTATCTTAAAATTTACGTATTTTTCTAACGTTCAAACTTTAAAGTGAAGTTTAGAAATTGTAATCTATTTGACTGCAATTCCGAAAGTAAAACACATATGTATGTATCTTACTTTCTATCTATTTAAAGACAAAATATTTCTACTTACAATTAGAGTGCAATAGAGTAATTTCAACATGCTTACTCTGCTATTCTCTAAACAAACATTTGCACCCATGCAACCCGTCGCTGTTAATATATGATACCCTTCTTGCCACGAAGAACTCCGTCTTTATCCTTATTAGCTATTTCCGTTCGTCGCAAAAATATATAATCTTTTTCTCTCTCTTTATCGATCTGTCATTGTATTCTTAAAGTAGCATCAAACAAAAAAATCGACGTTAATTAATATCTGTTACGACATTAAATCCCATTAAATTCATGCCGCATTGGAAGACAATGTACATCATAAACATCGAACATAAAAAAACATAATAAAGAAGGAAAAATAATATTCGAAGCGCATCGCTCAAAATAAATACCGACGCAAATCAAAAAGCGCACTTTTTCTTGACAGACATGGTTACGCCTTTAACCAATCGCGTCTTGGTGATGATAGAGACGATGGCAATTTTCTTAGAATATATTTTCTTTGTCCTTTACCTCGTTATAGCGATGCAATGTAGGTCGTTGTTCAGCAAACAAGATCGGTAACGGCGCAATCTATCTGTATGCAAATAATCGGATCCGCTTTTGATGCGTTGCACCGTTTCGTGTGTGTTGCATTCATCGGAACGGATCCCCGTGGAGCACGCCACGCCAGATAACTTTCCAAAATCTCCTTAATCGGGATTTGCGGAGAAGTGTTATTAAACTGCCCCGTCATGTGGGGACGGACGGAAATTTATGAAGGGGAGAGCGAGGAGAAAGTTAAAAAGCGAATTCATAAATCATCGCGGAAAATATGATGGGATGAGAAAGATAGGCATTGTAGATCGACCATAGAATCATGATAAACATAATGTATTTGCATTAATAAACTTGTTATAAAGTGCTGAGTATCATTACCTAAAAAAGAGAACCATATAACAGAAATATTATAAATAACTTCTAGCGATAAGATAATTGTTCTGAATATTTATAAGAGATATTGTATCTTATTGTTAGAGAGATTAGCGTGAACTTCCAAATCAAAATTTTTAATGACCTAGCAGCACATTTAAGAATGATAGCTTTTAGCTTATATCTTTCACTGATAACATCCTTTATATAATCCGATGCGATTAAACTTTATATAAGCCTTATATAATGAAACGATTGGAGAATCCTTTCCCATTGTTAATAGAGAGAAAATAATTTAGATTTCTAAATGAGTTTGTTATATAATATTGATATTTAAAAGTTTGTAATTGACATTGATTAAAAAATTACATGAACTTTTCCTTTTATTAAACTCGCATTAATTAATTATTGCATTAAATTTATAAATTCTTTTTATTATTAGAAAATATTATACTCTATTTACTTAAAAATAATTAATATTTTTGTTGAAAATATTGCCAAACTAAACTTTAAAAATAATGTTAGAAAGAATAATATTTTTTTGTAAAGTAACTTTCTTTCCCATTGACATGCTTTATACATGAACATGCTCGTTTCTCTTCTTTCCCATTTTTATGATTATCCGACTTTACGACAATTTTCGGGTAGATGCGGGGTGATGTTCTGTGATACAGATACGATATCATTGTCGAAAACAGTCGGAGAGAAGCCAAATTGGCAATAAATTATAGGAATAATGCCTGTAGCTTACGTGGGCTTACAATAACGTTTTGTTTTGACATTTTCGTGCGTATTTTTAACGTATCTTTCGCTGTTATTTTTGAGTGGGTGCAAAAAACGGTTAGTCTTTACATCCAGTGGATCACGAGTTTCTGATAATGACTAGACCATGTCTGAATAAAGATCAAGAGTCAACATTCCAATTGTTCTCTTTTTACAGAGTTTGCAAAGCGTCAAAATATGATGAAAAGCTATTTCAGAAAGTTTTTAAAGCAAGTTACGAAAATTATTACGCACTTTTTAAATAATATTTATTAATTTTTTAAACACTAAGTCTTTACTTACGCAAAGAAAAATCTGAACATTATAATATAACATACGACATCAATATTTTTCTGCCAATTATCTACAAACATTTTAGAATATTTTTAATTAATTAAATTCAAGATTTGGTTTAAGCGAAATTATATCTTGCATAGCTTTTCCTACGTTTCTTCAATGGCAACAGAAAGTACAGTGTCTCATCATCAAAGACAGAAAAATATTTCTTTAATATTTCTAAAAAGCTTTCATCGTCTCGAATTTAAACAATAACTGAAAGAAAAAAAAATAGATTGATAAATCTATAGATAAGCCGGCATGCAGATTTCCAGCCGAGTTATCAACAATAGATTCGCGTTCGCAAAGGAGATCAGTACTTGGCATCGACGGGCGGTTCGTGCATGATTGACACAACTACTGTCGCGACAAAGACGCGTCGTACTACTGAATCGCGATATCGGAGCGCGGTTATCATTCGGTTATTTCGTCGTTATCACTCGCCTATATCGTCAACGCAGTTACCGTGTGGTGGTCGAGATCGCAACCACGCTTACCTACCTACCTACCCTACGAAGAAATCAACTACGGCGCATCCCTTCGGTTTTTCCCTCTACTACCGGTTAGCGATCAATACTCGGGCGTAGAGTAGCGTGCAGCGGTAGTTGTTGTCTTGCGAGTATTGTGCCAACTCTCGTGGCATCCCGATCTCTCAGTGCGCTCCGCGTGATATGCCGTATAAACCTTCTGCATGGGCGTCTATTTATCCGGTGCGAGATAAATATTTATTCGCGCGACGTGTGCACGGGACGTGCTCCCGTATAAATGTCGCGTGTCGCGGGGAACGTTGCCGTCAAGGGAAATCTCGGGGAACTCGTTGAACGCGCGACTGTTGAATTTTTTATTCTGTAGCGCGCTTACGTGCGCGCGGTATTCTCTCGGAGGGACAAAACGGCGAAGATGAAGAGGCAGAACGTCAGGACACTGTCACTGGTGGTGTGCACGTTTACGTATCTCCTCGTTGGCGCCGCGGTGTTTGACGCCCTGGAATCGGATACTGAGAGGAAACGCTGGGAATTTCTCTCGGGTGAGTCCTCCCACTCGTTGTTTGCGTCGACAGATATTTTTATTCGCGGATCGATAATTAATAACTTCATTATTTCCGCGCGGCGGGAAATACCATCCCTTCTTCCCTTCACTCGCTGCAGAGATACGCCGTAATATGATGAAGAAATATAACATTACACCGGAGGACTACAAGATGGTCGAGATCGTGATAATAGAAAATAAACCTCACAAAGCTGGGCCGCAGTGGAAGTTTGCGGGTGCCTTCTATTTTGCCACTTTAGTATTAGCCATGATTGGTAAGTAGTCTTTATATAAAATTCTAAAATTTTAAAAATCTTAACGTTCGTTAAAACCATAATCCTAACAGAAAAAGATACTATATTTATTCAAAAAATAAATTTGTTTGATATATACGTACAATTTTCTACAAGGTTACGGACATTCCACTCCGGTGACCAAGCCCGGAAAAGCGTTCTGTATGGTATACGCGATGGTGGGAATTCCGTTGGGACTGGTAATGTTCCAAAGCATCGGCGAGAGATTAAATAAGTTTGCATCGGTCGTGATCAGGCGGGCGAAGACGTATCTTAGATGTCAGAAGACTGAAGCGACGGAGATGAATCTCATGCTGGCGACCGGCCTGCTTTCGAGTATAATTATCACAACGGGCGCCGCTGTGTTCTCGCGATACGAAGGTTGGAATTACTTCGACAGTTTTTATTACTGTTTCGTGACGCTCACCACCATAGGCTTTGGCGACTACGTCGCTCTTCAGGTAAACGATATCTTACTAATCGCACGAGAGAAACGGAGAGATGATTTAGATAAATTATTCTTCGTAGAACGACCAAGCGCTTTCCAACAAACCTGGATATGTGATCTTGAGTTTGGTCTTCATCCTCTTTGGTTTGGCTGTAGTCGCTGCCAGCATTAACTTGCTCGTGTTGCGCTTTATGACAATGTAAATATGTTTTTTTTATAACATAACGAGAATAATTATACAACTATTTAATAAAAAAACATTAATTCTCGAAACATACCGTTACAGAGACAGCGGTGAAGCGCGTCGCGACGATAGCGAGCTGGTTTCCGCCTCGCACCATGTTTTAACGTTAGACGGCGAGGTTGTGGCGGTAAACGGTAAGCTTCTGGCCAACCAGGTGCCAATCGTGCACGACACGGACGATTGCGTAAGCGTGTGCTCCTGTACCTGCCTCGGTCCGGCGACCTCCGAGTTGCTGGATCCTTCAGGGTATCAGGGCTACCGGCCACCCCCGATCTCTGCCAGTCTCCGAGTGAAACGCGCATCTGTCTGATGGAGGGAGTTTCGTCGTCGCAGCTTACGTCGTCGACTTTCGAGGGCCGACAGCCGGGAGCTGCTCGGTATCGACGTGTAAGGGTCGATTTTCACCGCAAAACTTTCCGAGAGAGGATCACTGCGCGCTGTGATACATCCGCAGGGAACGATTCGTAAGATTCTCACCTTTTGCGGAGAGTAAAATTTAAAAAAGACAAAAAAAAACCGACAACATCTTCCCGATGTGTTTGATACATGTGTAATAAGGACACTGACTGTTAATCGTTGTTCGACATCGTCGAAGGCTTGCCGGAGATGCTTGGACAATGTGTTCCTGCTACATTTCTTCCCGATGTTGTACCGATATGTATATCCACGAAGTTGATGCATTTTGATAATTAATGTTGATCGACCGTATCGATTTCCGATACGTGTATGTTGTATGTGTAATCCGAGTGTTATATAGACTCGATTTTTATGTCAGATGAAAATGATGAACGGCATTGTATAATTGTCGTTTTAATTCATAAACATTCATACAGAACGCTAATTGTCTGGATATTCGAGTGGTGACCCTTGCAATATCGTATCCTAGCAAAAATGGAATATCCCAGTACCTCAAATGTAACATATACGAGCTCAGATGCGGATTATCGGATAGATGATCGCGTATTTATAAATTATAGTATTATCAATGTTGTATTAATATGTATGTGAAGTAAAAGTATAGATTGGCTTCCACAGCCTAGAGATTTTCAAATTTAACAATGCCAATGTGACAATTGAAAACTATTGTCTCATTCTCTTCACATAAAAAAAAATTTAGTATAATAATTATATTTATTATTTATCTAAGAAATTATATTCTCTTTATTTTATTATAAATTAGCGCATTTTTGGATATTATAATCCAATATTTTAATCCACGGATGAGATTTAAAAATTTCTTCTCTTCCCGTTCAAAATATTTTCTGCTGTGGAATGTATTTGAGAATCTCTCGGCCAGAATCGTGCAGAATCGCACGAACTATACATATGAATATAAATACAATAGAACAATATTCTGGCCTGAATAGCATAATATTATATACATATTTCCATATTTATATCCGTAAATGTAAAGAAATGTCGCCTCAAGAAATTTGACATGATCATTTATGTAATTGCAGATTGCAAACGTGGAGGGTAACGCAAGTTGTATTTTTTTAAGACGTTTATAAAATAAAATAGAAAACGCCGAAAGAGAAAAGAGAAGAAAAAAGTGAAAAGAAAAGGGAGGGAAAGGATATACCGGGAAGACTGATAGCTCAAATTCTCTTCAAATCAACTGTAGTTATTACTTTTTTTAAAGAAAATCTTTTTTTTCTTGTGATTCAGTTGCGTTAATATCTTTCAAAAAGTATTCTTTAATAGGTTTGATCTTTGCGATGTTGTAACAAATAATGCAACAAACATCAGACACAACAATATAAAAGTAATTTAATTCTTCAGACACATATTAATTGTTTATTAACAATCAAAAGTGGACGTTGTATTTAAATTCTTTGTATTTACGTTGTAGTTTTAATAACTTGCGTTAAAATTGTGTGATAAAATATGAGTCTAATTACAGATAAAATTGGTCACCGACTGGGAGGGAATGCTTCCTTTGTTATATGCCTTGTTATATTTCATCAATTAGAAAATACGTAATCATGATCGTTGTGATTAATATACGCACAAGTTGTAATAATGTTCAAAAATTAGTTTCACATGAGAAAAAGTTCAAGCTAACAATAAAACGTATTTAATATCATTAAAATTCAATTCTTTTCAAGACGTATCGTAATGTGCACAGTATTTAAAAGTGCGCACACGTTCACGCAGAATAAAAATAGGCAAACCGCTCTAAGCAATGCGATAGATGATTATTGTAATATTATTATAAGATTTATCCTATATGCCCCTGTATATTTTTTAATGTGAATACATTTTTAATAAACACAAATACAACGCATCATAATGAATTTTACATAAAATACGTGTATAAAAATTTTGGAGTTGCCTTTCTTAATAGAAAAATTACTAATTAATCCATCGTTCCAATTTTCTTTAATATAAACATGAAAAAATTAATTGACGCTCTTAATGATTAAAACTCCTTCGATTTCGAAAGAACACAGTTAAAACTATAAAAAAAAATATAATAATTATAGAATAGACCTTCGCATTTCGGAAATCACACTTTTTCGTATGTCGTATCTCATTCTTAAAAAAAGGTATATTAAATCAATATTCGTAAGTATTGTTGCCTCTTTTCTGCGGCGCATTTGACAGTTCAAATATTAACTGTGTATGTAAGTTTAAATTTATTGGTTTTGAAAAAACGAAGAACCAGATATATATATATACACACACAAAATAAATGCCGCGCGTGCAGCGCGCGCTTATAGTGTTCTAGTTCGCTTTAAATTCTGCATAATAATTGCATTTTGATAATTTAACCTAATATGTCATTCAGGAAACTCTTCTCTCTTTACTGATGTGAAAAGCTCATTTTTTTATTTGCATCATTAAACTATGATTGAACACACGTGTCAACTGTTTTTGAAACAAGAAGATAAGTTTCCCTTTACGGCTGTAAAACCATTGACTTTCAAAAATGTGTGGACAGCATGGTGCGGTATCAGCAAATATACTCCAAAATGCAATCGTTACATGGACAGCATGGCTACAATATCTACCGAAAGAGCAAGACATACCGTATTTAAATATTGGTGGATAATACATCCGTTCAGTTATGGCAGGTACATTTTAAATGTGAAAAATTGATTGAATAAATTTTATGTGTGTGCATATATATATATATATATATATGCGCGTAAACATCACTTTTATTTTGTGTAACGTAACATGAAGATTTACAGATTTTTGTGGGATACATTTATGATGATAATATATCTGATTGCATTCTTTACGATTCCTTTTATGATTTGCTTCGTCATAATGGACTACGAATCAATTAATCTAGACAAAGTAAACATTCCAATTTATGCGATATGTTGGTTGGATATAACGTTCAATTGTATTACGGGATACTATAATAAGAAAAATATGTCTGTCGAGTTGAAACCTACTAAAATATTTATGTAAGATCTTGCAATTGATACTTTAATTTTTAGCTTGATTAATTGTTTCTTATTAATTTTCGTGCATAATATTAAGAATAAATTTTTGTAGATCCTACCTGAAAGGATTTCTCGTGCTGGATGTGCTATCGTCTCTTCCATATGATCATGTGACACTACCTTGGCGACGACTTCCGGGAAATAATTCCCATTATGTTGTTATCTTACTTAATATAGCGCCTGCTATAAAGTTAACACGCTACTATACCTTTCACTCAAATATTCATTATCTATTTACGGTAATGTTTTCTCATATTTTGATAACAAAGATATATATTATTGAATACTTTTTATTTCAGCATTTGGAAATAGAAAATTCTTATCTTGAAATGTTTACTACGCTATTGCTGGGATTATACCTAATCTTCTGGTTTTCTTGCCTGTGTTACTTGATACCAATCTTAGTGATGTACCTTGTCAACATTCCACCGATAGTGAGCGTATATACAATATTGAATTATGCATATTTCTAAAATAATAATTGTAAAAATATTATCTCATGAAAAGGAATGCGAGGAATGTTGGATGATGAGATTGGAGGACAGCAGTCTTAGATACAGGTTACAAAACGCTGTATTTATCGTGCTGGAAAATATATTGGGAAGTGGCTATGGTCTATACATACCCGAGAAAAACGTTTATATCATTTTTAATAGTTTTCTTATGATTATCGGCAGATTCATTGTGTGCTATATGTTGGGTAAAGCATTATACATGTAATATTTGTATGTCGGAAATTGCATTTTTATTGGGCATATCATTATCTTGCAGTTATGTGCTTTCGTGTCAAGGCTGAAAAAAAAGCATCCGAATCGAAGTTTCAAGAGCTAATAGATCAAGTAAAAGCGTATACGAGACAAAGGCAATTATTGCCACATATGAAGAAACGTCTCTTAGCTTATTACCATTACCGTTTCAAAAATACTTACTTTCGCGGTAAACGGATTTTATCAGAATTGACAGGTTAATAGAGCGCATCAGACTTAATTATGTATAATAAGATGTAAAATTTCTATCGAAATAATAAATCTCGCCATTTTCTTAATCTAAATTTTTCGCAGAACCGTTACGTGAAGAGATTGCGCTTCAGTCCTGCCGACGATTAATCGAAAACGTAGCAATCTTCAAAAATTTACCAAAAAACGTTCTGCAGTCAATAGTGAAGAACTTGAAGTTTGAATTGTTCCTACCGAATGAGGTAATCATCAAAGCTGGCACTCAAGGTGATTCCATGTTCTTCTTGTCGTCCGGAACCGTCGCGGTTCTGACGCCGACTGGGAAAGAAGTGAGTATTTTTTTCAATATATTTGCGTTTGCATTTGTTACAAGAAAAAAAATTTACTCTGCGTTATGTGAGATGTGTCACTTGAGCGACGGTGCCTATTTCGGCGAGATCGCGCTCTTGGTGGCGGATCAGCGAAGGGTTGCCAGCGTCATTGCGATTGAAGTCTGCGAAGTATATCGACTCGATCGCAAGGATTTCCGTCATTGCATAGACGTGCATAGCGAGCTGTTCGCGGAAATCGAACGCATCGCCACGGAACGCGTGGAGAAAACCGTCCGCGTCGAGGAACAGCACAAGCGTTTCTTGATGCGTCCAAGTCGCGTACCGCCGAATCTACGCAGTAGGCCAACGAAAACTAGAGTTTGAGTGTACACGTCAATTGTCGTTCGTTTAATTTTTTGCGTGAATTTCCTTTTATTTCCGAGAAATTGAAAGAAGCATTGCAAATCAATAATTTTTCATGTTGCATAATTGTTCGTAATTAAAATAATGTTGTTTCGAAAAAAGTGCCTTCATCAATTTAATAATTATATAGAAATAAAGTTGGCCTCTTATAAAGCACTTGGTTTTTTGTCACCGCAAAATAATAATCATGCTAATTGTGTAATCATATATTTAAGGACCTTATATATTATTATTGTCCATACAATAACCGTACAGTGTGGTGGTGGTGGTGTGGTATTCTCATATATTTATATATATCTACTTTTATATTTTAAAATTATATATATATATATTATTATTAATCGTTATATATACCTATATATAAGGTACTTATAGTTACAATTACATCTCCGCTAAAGACTTTACGGTAGCAGTGTCGTGACGAACTATACTTCTATTGATATTATGTATGAGGGATATGAATCATGGTTCTTTTTCTCTCTTTCTCTATCTTTTTTTGGCAAGTTTCTTTTACAAGGAAGTCAGAGTTTCGTGTCAAGACCCGTAGTATCGATCGTGATGAAACGTCGCCGATTTATCAGCGTCAAGGTAGGAGAATCGAAAGCTCTGTGACACGCTTCGTTAATACAAGGAAGACAGCGGATCATTATCGATATAACCGACGTCGTTACGCGCGAGGTAAGTTCCAACGAGTCCACGAGATTTGCGATCTCGATTAATCAGCTTCACGATCTAATCATAATCTGCGAGACGTACCACGGTTATATACCTACGGACATCGGTGGTCACAAGATATTGCCGACCTGTTCTGGGATATGTGTTTGGATTAACGACGTGCGACGATGTAAATTAACGGTGAACGATTATATGAATATCTACGCGACAGTCCGGTTCGGAGACTGTGACACATCAAAATCGCACGATATAAATAATCGTTTACAGTCGACATACGTGCCTGTAGAATGTGCATGCAATTTTCAATCTTCCATTCCGTTCTCGCTTTTTTCCCGAGACGGTTTCTCATCCGCAACCAGTTTCGAAATTTTCTCTGCGGAAATAGCTGATCACACAACGTCGATTGCCTACATACTAGATCGTCAATTAATCGGGTCACTACTCTACGTATGGTACTTGTCGCTATAACGATTTTAACATGTCTCTTGATAATGTCTAAAGGAGCACGGAGGAGAAGAGTACTTAATATTTTCGTCGATACTCTATTTCTGTATCCCGCGGTTGAAATCCCGAGTGACACCGCGTTTTCCGGATAAATCTATAATCTAATAATTTAGATATATACGAGATGATATACATGCGCCGCGCATTTCGGAAATAAGTATGCGGGTACACAATACACATGACGGCTATTTACACTAACGAGACGTCGTGTATATTCAGCACTCTTTCTCCAATCCTTTCGAAGGTCATCTAATAAGGCACTGCGTTTTACTGCGACTGAATCGGTACAAGTACGAAACAATCAAGAGAGTCGTCCTAGAGGCGCGCGACACGTCGATTTCGTCTTATGACTTACACTTACGGTGTGTGTGTGTGTGTATGTATTTGTGTGTGTATAAATGCGGTTTGGTACCTTTTATCTCTTTCCGTTTTCCCGTTCTTCTAATCGTCGATTGGTATCCCTACGATCTATCCAATACATCATGAATGACGATGTATCTAGCGAAATAGCAAATGTAATATATAATTAATAGTTACGATTAAAATGCTTCGTCAGGAACAAACGTTAAATGCAATAGATTTACGCGCGAAAGGTATAACTGATTGTTAGATACGGTGAAAAATCGACTGTACATACATACGTCTTACGATAAGCGAAAGATATAACGCGACGCACAATTCGAGAATATTGCAAGTCGGGCACAAAGTCACGCCGCTCGCGCAAATAGAATTACATGTCTGTGTGTTTGAGTATTCATATTTAAATATTATGCTTTTTTTGTCAAATTCTCAAGATGGAATTTATTCATTATCTTAATTGCGTTAGAGATTACTGTCGATTATCTATGAAAAGTGAGAAGTTTACGATCCGTTCTTCTCTTTTCCTGAAGAAAGAATGACGTAATTTATTCGGCGGCGACGCGCGTTATGGCAATATATGTATAATTCGAGTATAAGAAACAAGTAATAACAATATCATAGAATATAAATGGCATATTGAGAATATAATAAACTATTTATATTGTACAACGTAACGTGCGTAATATGCTTAATACAAGTAGGTACAGATTCCTTTTTTAATCACGCAGCACAGTGTGTCCAATGAGGGGGACAGGAACCCCGCTTGATTTATTGTTAGACAATATTCTACGCGAGAGAACTTTATTTCGTACATGTGTATATATCGTTTCGTTTTCATTACGTCGTACACGCATCATTGACTGACACCATGATGCATGAGAAAAAAAATGGCCACGCTATATCGTCATATCGATCGAGACTCTTCAGATCGTGTTTTCGGGCAGGAATTATCGAATCTTTGACAAGCCGGTTTCACAAAAGGAGTTTGCGCGATCACGTTACCACAGGAAGGAATACAAATATTTTATAAATTACTATAACTATATTTTTCGCGGTTAAAATTTTGAAGACTGCAATTATTATAGCGATGCACATAAGATATGTTTAAAGGAATATCAATCAGAAATATTTCCCATAGACTCGACAACACGATCTACGCGCTTAATCAGCCGACATTGTTTACAATCAGTTATCGCGGGATGTCGTCTGAGAGATCGCGCGGTCGCGACGTTTCCACTGGTCTCTTAAGAACAAGTTGATTAACCCGCCTAATATGACTCCGTCGGACTAGGATTCAGCATCAGATCGTATATACATGGATAGAGAGGCGTGAGATCGCGCAAGTCGCATACGTTTAGAGATGGATATACCGTATATATATATTATATCTATGTATAAACGCTCTAAGGCTTTGGCAGTGAGTTAACAAGTCGATTATTCGGCACGTCCGATAGGGGCAGGTGGATGCGCGCATGATTCCCTCCTCTCCGTTCCCTTCTCTGTCGCGTATCCCGCCGGCCACGATCCAAGATCGATATGTGCTATCACGTGTGAGTCGGAAATACCGAAGAGTCGATTTGGTATCTTAGACGAGCATTCGCAGAACGGATCTCCTTCTTCTTCTCTTCGAGTTATCGAGATGGGGTCCTCTCGCCGGCAGCTGCCCGGCCTCTGTGCACGATCGACAGCAGAATTTCGCGTAATACTTGTGCGTGCAAAACTTGGCCTCCACGATAAGTTCGCAGTTGGCGAAGAACGTGTTGTCCTGACAATGAGGATGGATGAAAACGCCTGAAAGAGATAGATGGATTAATTAAGCGCGCGGCCAAGTATTTATATGAATAATCGCGTAAAAAAAATACTAATGTAAATCAAAACCATTTACCAGCTACGCGTATATCAACGCTACCGGAATCCGAAGAGTATTCATTGGCTGCTTCGCATCGATATCGGCCGGAGTCCTCTTGATTTGCATCGCTGATGATAAGCCGATTAAGTTCTAAAAATAAAAATTTGATAATATTTTGATTTATTTATTTTTATTACCACACACACATATTCTTACTAATTAAATTTATTTTATATATTTTATATATATATTTATTATTATTATATCATATTTATTTTTTCTTATTATATTCGCGCTATTTAATCTATTACCATGTACTTTCTTACCAGAAATCTTGATTCGATTGTCGGTTTGAATGAGCTCGTCGTTCTTATACCAGAGTACACGTGGGATCGGATAACCGTCCACGGCACAAGCGATACTTATGTCACTGCCTTCGGGGAATTGTGATTGTCCTGCCGATACATTAACTTTGACCGGCACTGCAATTTAAATTGATTAATTTCACTTATGTGATAATTTCTCTTTCCTTCTGTTATATAAATAAAAAATATAAAGATAGATTTAAATAAAAAATTTTATAAAGCAAAAGAATGTGTAAAATTTCTGTATACTTACATCAATTTTAAAATTTCACTTCTATAAATAAGAAATTAAATTCTATAACGTTATACTTAATAAAACAGCCAATAAGCGAAATTATCATAACACAGCCCCAAGCGATAATACGAGATGCAATGTAATTAAAGTATTAGATATATACATGCAGGAGAAAGAAATAATCAAAAAGAATTTGATTGCACCATCATTGCTATCAGTAGCGAAAAATAAAATATTGTAAAAATTTAACTCGTAAAAGATAAAATCTTTGCAAATTTTTGAAAACTTTGCGAGAAATAACAACATACTTGACACAATGATCGGTGCAATTTACGGTAGAAATATTCAAATTAATTCAGTTATCGCGTGGTCTCACCTTTGAACTTGGCTCCACCGGGTTCAACGGTGGTTTGAAGAGGGATAACATGAGAAATACGAGGTGGTTTCGAGGGAACGGGAGCGTAAGTCTGATATTCCGGGGGTTGCGTTCTAGTGGGTCTGTAAGGATACTGCGGTTTCTCGGTAGTGGGTCTCTTCGGGGGTTGTACGAGATACTTGGTGTACTCCTCGTGCTCAGGTTTAATGTTGTAGACGGGCCCGATTGCCTGCAGAGTCGCCGACCACGACGCTGGTGTACCTATGCCATTGAACGCTTGGCAGGTGTAAATACCGAGGTTGGTCAAGGTTACCGAGCGTATCAGAAGGGTATAGTCGGTATCCTGCTCGTAATTATCCGAAAACAAGGGCAACATGCGGTCACCGCGCCACCAAGTGACAAATGGCCTCGGCCATCCCATTGCGTAACAATGCAGAGCTATCGGCGAGTTCATCGTCACCGTTATGCGAGTGTCGGGCTCTCCGATGATGGCGACCGGGAGTTCCCTCGGGTCTAAAGAGTGCAAGAAGAGGATGCATGCGCGATACTTAGAGAGAAATGTTAATCGTACCATATCCCCGGGAAAGTCAAGAATTAATTGATATTTGTTTTGACCAGAGGGTTAAAAGATATTTCTAAATTTTTTATTTCATGGCAAGTCTTATAATGCGTTTCACTAAGTAAGAATCCACAACACATGTTTATTCTTTTTCAGCAATAGATTAATATTAAATGAAAGTGGAAAGATTTATGTTATTATGTTCGATTGCATTTCACGTCAACCGGTCGGGGGCATTCATAGCGAAATTAGTGCAAACCTAACACCATCTAACTACTTGTTATTACTACTACTACTTGCTATTCTATCTAGGATTATACATTGAGCAAAGATCGCTCCTTGCAAGACAAGTCCACGTACCTGTGATTTCCAATTGATACTCCGCTCTTACCGGTGGTCCTAAGCCGTTGTCAGCGGTACACACATAAGTTCCTTTGTCGTAAGTGTATAAATTAATGATCTGAAGAGATCCATCGAGCAGTATACGCCGTCTCGTCTCGGAAGGTCCAATCTAAGAAATTATATTCGCGCAATATTTTATAAGTTATATAATCGGAAATACAATTTTGGTGAGTTAACAAGTCGATTATTCGGCACGTCCGATAGGGGCAGGTGGATGCGCGCATGATTCCCTCCTCTCCGTTCCCTTCTCTGTCGCGTATCCCGCCGGCCACGATCCAAGATCGATATGTGCTATCACGTGTGAGTCGGAAATACCGAAGAGTCGATTTGGTATCTTAGACGAGCATTCGCAGAACGGATCTCCTTCTTCTTCTCTTCGAGTTATCGAGATGGGGTCCTCTCGCCGGCAGCTGCCCGGCCTCTGTGCACGATCGACAGCAGAATTTCGCGTAATACTTGTGCGTGCAAAACTTGGCCTCCACGATAAGTTCGCAGTTGGCGAAGAACGTGTTGTCCTGACAATGAGGATGGATAAAAACGCCTGAAAGAGATAGATGGATTAATTAAGCGCGCGGCCAAGTATTTATATGAATAATCGCGTAAAAAAAATACTAATGTAAATCAAAACCATTTACCAGCTACGCGTATATCAACAAAATATCGGTCCAATTATAAGATGAATTACCAATGTGGTATCCTTTCTCCATGTGATGATCGGTTTGGGAGTTCCTAGTGCGACGCACTTTAACGTGATGAAACCGCCCTCCTGTGCGCTGACGCGAGGTTCATCGGGTTGTTGAATCATCGCGGGTTCACCCCCGTATTGCGGTGGGGTGACAGTGGGTACTGACGTCGTTGTCAAAGGCTCTTCCGGCGCAGGTTCCAAGCAGGATGTACCGCAGCCGCTGTCACAACATTTCCACTCTCCGGGACAATCCGCGTCCGTAACGCATTCTTGCTCGCACCGTGTGCTATTGGATACTCTTGGACAACGACCGGGTTTAACGACTGAAAAGACAACGCCATTCCATTATTTTGAACAAGATCATAAGAAAAGATGATCAATGGTTTAATACAAAATTTATTTTCAGACGTATATTTTTCCATACAAATTATGTGACAGCAATTTAATTCTTTTTTCCGAAAAAAAATATAATTTTCAAAAAACTATTTTATTGCGGGAAAAATTTCTTTTTTTCGGACGTAAAAATAATTTAAAAAAATTTTGAAGAAAAGTTAAAATTGCAGAATATACGTTAAACTTCTGACAATGAGGATGGATAAAAACGCCTGAAAGAGATAGATGGATTAATTAAGCGCGCGGCCAAGTATTTATATGAATAATCGCGTAAAAAAAATACTAATGTAAATCAAAACCATTTACCAGCTACGCGTATATCAACGCTACCGGAATCCGAAGAGTATTCATTGGCTGCTTCGCATCGATATCGGCCGGAGTCCTCTTGATTTGCATCGCTGATGATAAGCCGATTAAGTTCTAAAAATAAAAATTTGATAATATTTTGATTTATTTATTTTTATTACCACACACACATATTCTTACTAATTAAATTTATTTTATATATTTTATATATATATTTATTATTATTATATCATATTTATTTTTTCTTATTATATTCGCGCTATTTAATCTATTACCATGTACTTTCTTACCAGAAATCTTGATTCGATTGTCGGTTTGAATGAGCTCGTCGTTCTTATACCAGAGTACACGTGGGATCGGATAACCGTCCACGGCACAAGCGATACTTATGTCACTGCCTTCGGGGAATTGTGATTGTCCTGCCGATAATTCTTTTTTCCGAAAAAAAATATAATTTTCAAAAAACTATTTTATTGCGGGAAAAATTTCTTTTTTTCGGACGTAAAAATAATTTAAAAAAATTTTGAAGAAAAGTTAAAATTGCAGAATATACGTTAAACTTATTTTCGTTGTTAACGATATACTCACTCGATTGACAAACGCCATTGTACTCCGTGCCGTCTTGCGTAGCGACCAGGGTAATGGCACACCGAGTACCTTCAGGGCAGATCTTTGTCCTGCAAGGATCGACGCAACGGCAGCGTTCGCAATCTTGCGAATCCACGTATTGTTCCTTGCCGTACGGACAGCGGACAATGTTACATTCTTCCTTGGCCTCCGCGCAGCGATCTTTCGTGTCCTTGGAGTCCACGTCTATTTCGTTACTTGCTGCAATCACGTGCGTTGCAAGAAATTAAAAAAATTTATTCTTCTAAATGGGAAGAATAATTCCAAGAAGAAAAGCTGTTGGCACATTTATATACATTTATATTGCTGCATAGAATTAATGTATGATAATGCACGTTAGTGTTCACATCGTATGTTCCTCTGCTTTCACGATCATCGTGTATCAATCACATAAAAACCATTAAAAATTTTTTTACGTATTATATTTGAGAGATATGATATTCCGCAGACGTCAAAGCTATAGCTTTCTTTGTCATATCTGTGTTTGATTGTACGATTTTAATTTAATCACACGCACACATAAAAGAAATATAAATTTTTAAACATATAAACTTAATTGATACGGCAACATATAAGCAGAATTTTGTCGTAGGTATAAAGAATTGAGGGATAAGAGATGCGATGAACAAAAGTTTTGCACAAGAAAAGCATAAAAATATATAAAAGTATATAAAAATTGAAATTGTATATATGTACAAAAGAAATAATTGCTGTGTACACTGCTATACAAAGCTGAAAGACGAAGTCTGTAAAAATACGAAAAAAATAAGAGAAACTTGTTAACGATCTCATATCCTGGACTTACTCCTAAGACAACTATTAATGCATGATTCGAAAGTCTTGAATCTGTTTCGATTGCCACCGCATCCGGTATAAATGAACGCCAGACATGTTTGGCGTTCCTCGTCGAAGTAGAATCGCTTGGTGGAACCAGACGTGCAAGATCCGCTATCGACCGGTTCTTTACAGATCGCTGTATCATCATCACGAATATTGTTATTCCAAGTTTATCCAATCTCCCGCGATGGAGTGGACAAAAATAGCACGATTTTTATAAATTAATACAATTCAAAGAGGAATTACTGTTCAAGACGATAAAAATACAATAAGATAAATATACGTACACAAATTCGAAACGCTAGTGTCGTTTCCAGGGGGCATAGGTTCCTCGTGATGTATACAGATAGATTCGCATTCAGAGATAGTGCTGAATCTATTCGCGTTACCGTCGCATCCGCCGTAATTGAATTCACGGCAGGCGCGTAAGCTCGGTTCGTAGTGATATTTGCGGAAAGCGCCTCTGCACGGGCCAGAATCCACGGGAAGGTTGCACATGTCTAAGACAAATAAAATTCAATTCTAATTAGACTTTAATCTAAACAATCGTCTTTTCTCGTGAAATAAATATTCCGTTCTAACGTAGTAAAAATAAAAAAAAAAAAAAAAGACAATTTTGTGTGCTATGCGAATACTTTGCTTAGAAACTTTAAAATTAGATTCTTCTAATTTATTTGAGTTATACAGTGTTTATAATTAAAGGAAAAATTCCACTATTGCACATAAAGAGAAAACGACGATGCTCGTATCAAAATTTTTTATATGTAACTTTTTACCTTGTCCGTGGAACTTTCCGCAGAGTCGCTCGCACTGTTCTTCGGTCTGGAATTTATTAGCGTTACCGTCGCAGCCGCCGTAGATAAACGCCTGACACATTTGGTGTTGCGCATCGTAATAATACGCGGTGATGGAGTCGTCACAATTGCCAGAATCAACCGGTGCCAAGCAGATCGGACTCTTCGGTTCTTCGATCGGCGGTACCACCGTGGTTTGAGTAACTTCCGGCGGCGTAACGACTGCCGGCTGTCGCCTGCACTTCCTCTCGCAGGATTCTATATCCAGGAAGCGATTCTTATTGCCTTGACAGCCGCTGTATTCGAACTCGTAGCACGAATCGCTGTCTTGGTCGTAGTAGAACTGTTTCACGAAGCCGTTGCAGGGACCGATCACTTTCGGTAGCGTACAAGCATCTGAAAAATTTTCCCAATATTTTCTGTCACGATAGATAAAAAATAAAATAATAAAAAATAAATATTTTGTTATGTATATATATACTCGAGTAGATATTATTATTGAGATTATAACTATAATATCATTTTGTTTTCTAAATGTCTGTACCTTGAACTTCTCCGCAGCGATACTCGCATTCCTCGCGGGTGTTGAAGTTGTTGCCGTTGCTCTGACAGCCGCCGTACCGGAATTGCTTGCAGACGCCGTCGCGACTATCGTAGAACCATTTGATCTGATTCTCGGAGCACGGACCGTGTTCGTCGCGCAAGAAACAGAATTCTGCGGACGTTACGTTTATATTATAGCCCAGTAGCGGTATCGTTACGCGCGGATGTATTTCCGAGATCGTCCGGAAATGTTACCTGTTCGAAACTGTTCGATTGGTTGCCCCGGCGGGGGTGGCGTGGTAACGGCCGTCTCGCACCTGTTGACGCAATCCTGCTCGCTCACGAAGTTATTCTCATTCCCGCCACATCCACCGTAATAGTATTGTCGGCAATGCTGCTCGTAGGAGTCGTAATACCATCGTTGAGTGTAATTGCGACACTCACCCAGGAGAGCGGGTAGAAGGCAGATGTCTTGTTCTACGTTCGTGAATTTAGAAATTGTATTTGCATGTTGATATGTTATTTTTTCTTAATGAGTTTTGCCAATCAATTGCGATCGTATAAAAGATATGTATAGCGATAAGATTAAAGATAACTTTTTTTTCAGTCTTTTTTCATCAACGCGTCGAAATAATAAATTAATACAGTAATAAGTTTATAAGAAATTCTGTCTAAAATAAATTACTATCATGGAATCAATTTAAAAGATTGGCGCAAATATTTAGAAAATTCTTTTTTGTATTGAGAAAAAATTGTGTAATTGCATAAATGTGTGTGTGATATTATATTAAAATATGCATAACTAGATATAAACTTTTTCAACTACAATCTCTCGTGCATCATACATCTTCATATAGAAAAGACAGTTCGTGTTAGCAATAGAATAAAAAATGCTCGAAGAAAAATAGCGCTTTCAAGACTAACAGAATTTGAAGTAGAGAAAGACGTTATAGAAAAGACGCAAAGGAAATCTTACCGATCTTGGGCGGACAATCAGACTCGCATACGTCCCTAGATTCAAAATTATTTTTATTGCCACCACAGCCGGTGTAATAGAATGGCATGCAGCGATTCTCCGATTGATCAAAGTACCATCGAGATTGCTTCTCCGTGCACGTACCCTCCGCCCGCGGCAATGTGCAACTATCTGTTAATCGCATTCATTATTATATCATGCAAAGTTAGAGCAAACGTTAATCAAACCTGTCCCAGCTATTTCATTATAGCTATATATGTCATTAGTTTGAAATTCCTTACTTCTATCATTAGTCAACCATATAGCATATAATAGCATGAAAATATGCATTCATCCAAAATAAAGTTATTTATGAAAATGTTTAGTAGTTCTTCCTCCATCACCACCATATATAATAATATTATAGAGTTATTTGAGTTATAAATAGAGCTGTAATATTTAAATGAGTTCGTGGTTGTGATATAATGTTTAATAATAGCCATAATAGAATCTTGCCTATCTCATTTTTTGAATTGTTTTGTGTAAAAAATTATTATGCTATTTAAATTTGTGTAAATTGTATTATATAATTATTATTAGCATTCGAGAGTCTTCAATTTCTAACTGATTAAATCAAGTCTAATTCGATTACAGAAGATAAAACTTTAGCATTAAATATGAAACATAAAAAAAAGAAAAAAAAATTAAAGGAATATGTATAAATTGCGATAATCAATATTACTTCTCAAATTTTTCAACTCAAAAAATTTTTTTAAAATTGTGCGACAGGATTATATGCAAGTGAAAATGTGTTTAACAAAATTGTGTAAAAGCTAAAGCACGATCGTGAATCGTGATCACATTGGTGCCGAAACTGCTCCAGTATTGCATCGTAAACGTGCCTTTTTCGGTCACCATCACCTGAGTGCCAAGTGTGTGCCATAAAAAAACGAGGACAATGCTTTCTCGAAATCGAGTCAAAAGGCATCGGGTGTTCTCCCTATTCTACGCGTGAATGTTATCACGAAGCGATGTAAAGCTCTCTCCTTGTTGTTTTCTGTACCTTCTGAGGGGCAACGCTGCTGGCAGGCAGCAAGAGTACGGAATTTATTGGCGTTGCCTTTACAACCGCCGTAAACAAATTGGCTACAAGTGCCACGCTCGGCATCGTAATACCAGCGCAATGCCGAGCCCGGACATGGTCCGGGGTCTCTCTTCAAGGCGCACACGTCAGACAGTTTTACTGCAAAAGTTCGTCCATCACTGTGCGGTCGACTCGATCCTCGTAACTGACGTTTAGAACTAATATCGGTGGCAAAGGAGTTCCGAATTACTTGAACACGCTTGGTGCCAATCATTCTCAATAAAACTATGCTCTGCCGTTTATGCGTAGAGTAACCGCGAGCTTAATTTAATCAAAACTCTCTCTGTAAATATGTTATTAAATATTTTCTAGATGTGTCATTAAATCTCTTATTAGATCTCTCTTTTCAAATTTCTTTTTTTTTTTTTACATACTACTAATTCTAATAAAAATTTTTGTATCGAATATCTAAATATTTGAAAAGTAAGTGTA